CACACACACACACACACAGTTACAGTCTTATTCAGCTTTGCTGGTTCACAGTTGAATATAATCCTTCTTTATCTGCTCCTCGGTTCAGTCACATGATCTCCGCCCATGAGCGCCGGCGTCAAACACAAACCTCACACTGACATTTGTGTGTTTGCTCACGCTGAGCCTCTGATAATCAGGCACTGTGTATGAAGCTGAGAGTGTGCACGTCACTGCTGGGTGTAAACTCCTGTGTGGTGCTGTGAAGAGGCTAAGCTAAGCTAAGCTAAGCTAAGCTTCTGTAAACGCCGACACAGAGGCGCTGCGGCGTCTAGCAGCGCTCCACTCCTCTGCTACTATCAGCCAGCGATGCTGAGACCTCCGCGTGAGCCGCCATCGTTACCACAGCTACCCTACAAACACGCGGCGCTCATTGTCCAACAGGAAGTAAACCTGAGGACAGGAAGTCACGGATCAATAATCCAGCATTGCTAGAGGGCGCAATGTGACTGACTCCACATCAAACATTCAGTCTTAGTCGTTCACATCCACGCCACGAGGATAACGTCTCAGAGGATCTGCTAACAGCTCTGTTCTGACCCGGAAACAAGAACGTCCAGATTAGCACGCCACCGCCGGGGTCGCAGATGTAAACTCACCTACATTCATGCTAATCCTGGCCTCAAAACTCCGAGCGGTGTGTGTGACAGCGGGACGACTCCGAGCCGACCCCGGGATTAACCCGCAAAACCTGCTGCATTCATCAGCCAAACACCCCTCCCCCTCCCCCTCCTCCTCCTCCCCCTCCTCACATCTGGGCTGCTGCACCACCAAAACTCCACATCTACCCCTCCCTCCTCCATCAGCACCACCTGAATCCCCACCAGCCCGGGCTCCTCCCACCTGTTTATTTATTTATTACCCAGAGTTTAACAGAGAGACCTCACGCTGCTGCTGTGAACACCTGAAGAAGAAACAGCTGAGTGTGTGTGTGTCTGTGTGTGTTCATGTTTTGCCATCATATAAACACATCTATTCCAGGCTGAGTGATGTCACAGGTCATGTGACTCGCGGTGACACCTTCAGCCTGAGGACGCTCGCACTCACCACTTCGTAGTGTCCGTAC